AGAGAGAGAGAGAGAGAGAGAGAGAGAGAGAGAGAGAGAGAGTTGACTGAATCGATGATTAAACAGAAAAACACAAAGTGCTTAGCTCATTTTCGCATTAATCATTGCAACCAACTCATGTAAATAGCAAACCGAAATCTCATTGGCATCAATACATAAAACAATGCCTGAGATTTACACGTGAATGTTGTACACTACCTGCACGCAAAAACAATTGACCTTCACACCCAACACACGAAAAAAAATGCTTGACTTAATGCGAAAATGCCTGCTTACCGCGGAAAGTGTGAAAAATATGTATACGTCGCTCGTAATGCGTTGAAAAAACAAAATAAAACAAAAGAAATAAAAACTACAAAGAGTTGTGTCTTTTTTCTTCATTCTTTTCAGCAACCTAACTGCGATTCAGTTTGAAATTTGCGGCAGTTTTTTCAATGTTGGATAATGAAACACAATGCACTCGAATAATACAAATGAATGATCAAAAATGTTAAGACATTTAAAACAAAACGTTTGCTGCATTGCGATACTAAATAATATCTATCAATTTCCATGACATCAATTCAAAGCAATTTTTAACAGCCACAGCGTCATTTTATTTCTTAAAATTTATGCTTTTTTCTTCTTTGCAAATAACCATAATTGAAATTAATTATGACAAACAATTGTCATCTCAAACGTGAAAAATGTCGGCAATATTTTAATTGAGATCGAAAGTGATGACGGCGCCTCGTTCATGAAGGGACAATAAAAACATAAACGCTATTGTGATATTTTTATGTGGGTTTTTTCTGAATTTGAAACGCGCGCGCGAGTGAGAGAGAGAGTAGCAATTGCATGTATAACGGTCACAATCTATTACCCACAAATCGCTCTAAATGTTCATTTCTCTTTCACTTTCAAAGCATATCGCATCTTTTGAATTTCATTATCTAATGTTAACATTATATACCTATCGTTATTGTAAAACACACTTTTCACTTCGTTATACGATTTAATAACATTCAAATTACTGTTACTTTTGGTACCATTCACTGGCACAGTGAAACAGTGGCGAGATGGTTCCATATTCGAAATAGAAGTGAAAACCATCGAATCGCATGAAAGAAAATGGCCAAATTTGTGAAGTTATTCTACAAAAAATCAAACTGAACCATCATTTTTGACCATCAACAAAACCATAAAGTGCTATTATATCGAATGAAATGCTTCGATTCGCATTCGTCCTATTCACATCGATTGTGTACACACCGTTTTTTCTCATTTTCATGCTTGATATCTATATCAAACTCTCAATATCTATATTAATAGCTTAGCGCTTGATCTATAACATTCAAAAGGTTTTCTATCGACATAACTATAGTTTTTTGTTTGAAACAGTCATAATTTTAACATGTTTTTTTTTTTTTCAAATACAAAAATTGTGTGAATGTACGGAAGTCATTTATTTCTCTATCATTCATCATCATATATAGTGAACGTTTCATTTTTCAGAATACATTTCTATCTATTTTCCAGTGATCTTTTTTTTTATTGGGGACACTTTTGTTGTATACAAGTGCCAAAAGTTCAAAATTTACAATGACTTTAAACATGACCTAAGCTTATATATTTCGCATTATCTTTCATATTTTGATTGCCCCATAAAAAAAATGACTGAAGTCAATTCGAACTGTTATCGTAGCACATTAATCAGTATAAATGCCATACATTTTTGCAATTATTCTTCCATGTGAATCAACCGATGCAAACAAAGGTAGAGATTATAAGTAAATGACGAATATAGCATTTCGTAGAATTTTCTTTTTAATTTGAGACTGCTGAAATGTATACACCCAATTGAGTTCAAGATTTACAAATGACAGCTATCGTTAGGTTTGAATGTACGAATGTTGTTTGATTGGATTTTATTCAACACCCACGAAAAGATACACACAAGAGATAAACCCCACAAATTATTTTAGAATTCCTATTAAAAAATGAATTTGTTAGGTTTCCTTATAAAATCGCAATATTTTAACAGGAATCCTAATAAATTGGCGCGCTTAAACGTCAAATCCAACCTCACTGTGTTGAAACAAAACATGTTTTATTATTTAAAGGTTTCCTAATAAAATGTTGCCATATTAGAAGGAAACCTTACAAATTAATATTTTAATAGGAATCCTAAAATGATTTGTTAGGTTTATTTTTTGTGTGTACACGATAAAAAAAATGCAATTCAAAAAAATGATTGAATTTTAAGTCTCGTGTCTATCACTATATCAGATCGTAATTATATTACAGTCAACACTAACTTATATTTTATCATTTGATTAATAGCTCTTATTGCAAAAATCAAAAATCAAAAATCAAATAAAACATATTGACATATAATCGATTCGATTATCAATGAATATGATATTCAAAACGCATGAATTTGTTCGATGGAAGAAGAAGAAGAAAAAAAACACAATTTTTACTCTAATTCATTTACAATGCGATCAAGGTAGTTCTTTGATTGTATGAGGTCATGATCTCTATTCTGAAAAAAAAAATGCGGTGAACATTAGTAATAATCATTAGATTGTATTATTTTGAATCGACGAAGATATTAAAACGTCAGATTGTTAAACAATTTCGCACGAATGCACAAAGATAAATAGTTTTCATTATGCATGAATTGAACTGGATAATTCAACAAATATAAAATTGTAATATATAAATTGAATCGAATAGAAAAAGTTGAGTGTGTTGTTATAATCGTGTTCAATTACGTAATAAAATCCACGAATGAATAAATGAACTCAGAAAGCGCTCATAGCTTTGCTCTCATGTTTGTTTACAAAATGAAAAATGATGCAAACGTAATTCACATCATTTGGATGTTGTCTGAACTTGGTCTTGACTCTGTTAACCGATTTTGTTTTTATTTTTATGTACCTTGATTTTCAAATACATTATTCTTCTGGCATCTTATTCGATTTGTTTGCGTATTTATTTATTTTTGTGCGCCGACACTTCAACAAAAGCATTTGAAGAGAAGTACCGCTTGGCTCTTGGTTGACATAAATGTTGGACAATTAAAGTGTTCGCTTGAAAAATGTTTAATGATTCCGCTGTTGATAATTAAATTAATGAACAATGCAAATGATAAATAGTCGGTTGAGAAATTCCCATGACACATGCACTTTATATGAGTCATACTGTGAATAATTAGTACAAGCTTATGTGTTAAATGCGATGTTACAAATAATATTTCATAAGGCGGTTTTTCTTTATTGCTCGCCATATTTTTAAATGCTATCATTTACTTGGAATTTTATCCCAACAAAACCATATTTAATTGAATAAATTAAAATTACACATGAATAAATACACTTATCGTGTTCAAATTTTTTCAGAGTTTCACTCAGCGCTGCTGCCATCCACAGCATATCTTGCTGGAGGGGTCGTGATTTTTCAAAAAACGTGAGGCGATTGCAATTATACGCTAGAGTGAGGTGAAATGAGCTGGAAGTAGATCTTGTGGAGTAGGTGGATTCGACCTGGTCCAAAGTGATCTGAAAGTTGGGCACATTAGTACTGGACCCCTCGCGTTGCCTTTCAGGGGGCTTAATTTTCGTTATTTTTCCGATTTTCCCATCGGAAAAGCGAGAAAAATCGATCGATAGTTTTTTTGTGATTTTCATTAATTTTATATGTAGAATATATATGATTTATACGAAATATGAAGATTTTATACGGTGTGTCGTATAAATCAAAATTCTATGAT